AGAAGGGATTTTTGTGTAAGCTCGAAACAACTCACAAAGCGTGAGGAGTTGTCGTTCCTCACGGTCTTGGCGTTTCCAAAGGCCTCCAGCAGTGGGTTGGCGCTGATGATTTGATCCTCAAGCGTTCCCTGCAGGGGGGAAATTATTCACTGGCTGTGTTGAGTTGACAGGGCAATGACAGGCCAAGTGTCCAGTCTGTTCTTCCTGACTCACCTGCATTTTGCCTGATGACTGGTCCTCCTTTTTCTTCTCTCCACTGGCTGCAATTGTTGCAAAGTACTGGATGACACGCTTTGTGTTCACAGTCTTCCCGGCCCCGGATTCTCCGCTGGCAGAGCAAGGAGAGAAGCAGAGAGCGTGTGGTCAGGCAGGAGGGGCCCTGGCCCTGGGCAGCCCCGCAGGGACCCGAGCAGGAGGTGTACGTACGTGATCAGGATCGACTGGTTCTCCCGATCTGTGGAAGAGGGACAATGAGAGCTGTGTTAGCAACTGACCTGGGTAACCCTAATCTGAATGAGAAGTAAAACTGCAAAAAAAAGTTGTGGGGTCTTCAGAAAGTCTAAGGCTACCCAGTTCCTTTCTAGGTCCTAATAGTACTAAGAATAAGCCCAAATGGATATATTGAACAGTCAGGGGCATCTGGACCTAAGACAAGCTATGCATCAACTTGCCCTTGACATAGTTCTCATCAGGAAATATAAACAAATTGCCCACCCATGTTCAAAATACTGGATTATGTGGAATAATAACTTCTTCCTTATAAGTGAAAAAATGTAGAAAACTGAGTCAAGTATTACTTCATGCTTTGGGGTCACTTGCACTTGAAATTATTTGCTGCATAACTCGCTAAAGTTCACAGTCATGCAGCTCTGTGGTGGTTTTGGCTGGCTTGTCGTGTGCCCCAGTGAGATCAGCAGGGCTTTTTTGGTTAGATTGCTGTGAGGGAGGTCAAGCACTCACCAGTCAGCATGAACTGATAGGCGTTGTCAGAGATGGAGAAGATGTGTGGAGGGGCCTCCTGGCGCTTCTTGCCTCG